GGTCAACTGTAAATATTTTACGTAAACATATTATAACTACATAACAATAATATATTTATATGATTTCCAATTGTAACAGGGAAGAGCCAAATCAGACTACATGTTGGATCTGTTTCTTTTACTTTAACCTTTGCTTTCTGCAGCTTTTGTTCACTGAAATGATACTGTCTGTACATAATGGCCTGCCTCGGGGAACCCTGCCCCTCTACCTGAATGTTAAAACAAAGTGCCTTTGTTCGGGGGAGCATCTGGACTCTGCCCACCTGTGGATGGCTACAAGAAAGAAGAAATTAACACATCCCCTCCCCGAGGCTGGCCATTCCAGGTGATATTTGCAAAACTTATGGCCATTTTACTTTACTTCCTCATCTCCTCCCCCTCTCCGTGCTATAAAAGAAACTGGCCAAACCTCATAAGATGGCTTTTCAGAGACACTAGTCTGCTGTCTTCTTGGTCTGCGGGCTTTTCGAATAAAGTATTCCTTGCCTCAATGCCTCATTTCGAATAAAGTATTCCTTGCCTCAATGCCTCATCTCTGATTCGTTGGACTGTCGTGTGGCGAGCAGAGTGAGCTTGGACTTGGTAGCACTCATATAAAACAAAACCATATTTCTCTTGTTCCTTTATTATCACTGAGGCCTAATCTCACCTCTAATTTAAGATGACACTGATGATGAACACTAAAGAATTTCTTCTCCCGCCTGGCCCTCAGGCAGGTCTATGCTAACACGTGTTCTGCGTGACTTATTCTATCACTTTAGATTTATGACTAATTAAAAAAAGGTAAGTTCAGTATTTGATAGCCCTATAGCTTTTGGAAAAAAATTAATAAAAATTACTTTACATTTATGTAAATAGTATCTTATATTTTATTTATATTTACATTTATGTAAATAGTTCCTTAATATATTTATAAAGCTTTTTACTCTAAGCTATTAATACTCACAACAACATTGTGAGGTGGGCTGTCACACTAATCTCACACATGAAAAAGCCAGAGCTCTGAAGATTTAATCACACAGCACCTATGGGGCAGAACTAGGACCTAGCCTAGGTCCGACTCTAAATCTTATTTTTTTTAATGTAGTAATCTAATACATAGATAATTTAATGTATTTAAAATCCTCTTTTCAGGGACCATACCTAACAATGTTGCTTATTATCATGTCTCAAAATTGAGAACTTGTTTTCTCTCTGAGACTAAAAGACTGAATTCACCTTTTATAAAACTGTAACCACCTCCATCATCTGGTGGTCATGGAGTTGGTGAAGGTTGAAGATGTTAAAGAACAGGTACATTTATTCAAGGGCTTTGAGGCCAGTGAGTCAATAAAAATTTACTGAGTGTTTCCTCTATGCTAGGTAGATGCTGAGTCCTGGGGAGAGAGCAGTAAATTAGGCAGAGATCTGCCTTCAAGAGGCTCCCGCTCTAAGGGGTGGGATGTAGAAAATGATTCCGTAAAATATGTCAAGTCCGTTTATGTGCAAGGAAATGATAAAACCAGGTTGTGCAGAGTGAAGGAAGGACAGTCCTGCTGCAAGAAAGGGGTCTGAGAAGATTTGAGTTGAGGATGGAGTAATGAGGAGGGGCTGTGAGAAGACTGGAATAGGAGTACTCCGGGGCCAAGGAAACAAAGCACAGAGCTTGAGAAAGAAAGAAGACACAGGTCAGCCAACAAGGGGACAAAGGAGGAGCTGAGGCTGGAGAAGTATGGGGAGGTCCAATGCAGAGCCTTCAATGCTGGGCTAGGAATTCAGATTGTATTCCAAATGTAACAAATAAGCCGTTCAAGGTTTATCAGCTGAGCCACACTGATTTTAAATCCCACTTTTGATATTTATTAGCCATGGAATTTTAGCAAACTACTTAGACTTCAGGGCCATAATCTCCTCATTTGCAGAATGGGAGGATAAAATCTCCTCATATGGTGGTTGTGAAGATTTTGGGAAAATGCATTTTGGCTGCAGGTAGCACAGTAAGCTGAGAACATGAATACTGTATGAGGTCAAAGATATCTCACCTCCTTTAAGCTCACAGACTTTATCATTTTTTTTTTAAATTGAAGTATATTTAATTTACAATGTTGTGTTAGTTCCTGGTGTATAGCAAAGTGATTCAGTTATATATATATATTCTTTTTCATTATAGTTTATATATAAACTATATATAGTTTATATATAAATTTTTCCATTATAGTTTATTACAACATATTGAATTTAGTTCCCTGTGCTATACAGTAGGACCTTGTTGTTTATCTATTTTATATATAGTGATGTATATATGTTAATCCCAAACTCTTAATTTATCCCTCCCCACCCCCTTTCCCCTTTGGTAACCATAAGTTTGTCTTCTACATCTGCAAGCTCACAGACTTTAAATGACATATAAACAGAAGGAAAATATAAAAGAAAATAACTTTATACAGTGAAAAGAAGCAGGACACAAACATCAACCCATTCAGATCTTTCAGTATTTCACTGTGGCTTTAAGAACTCTAGAATCTAGCCCAGGGGTCATCAAACCCCAGCCAACAGGCCAATTTCATGCCAGGCCCTAACCGAAGCCTATTTATTACATCCCCAAGCCTATTTATTACAATCCATGAACTAATTATGATTTGTACATTTTTAAATGGTTGAAAGGAAAATCCAAAAAAGAATAACATTTTGTGACAAGATTATTGTATAAAATTTAAGACTCATGGACAAGTTCTGTTGGAATACAGCCACATCCATTCTATAACATATGGTCCATGGCTGCTTGGTGCTACAATGGCAGATTTGAATAGCTGTGACAGAGACCACATGGCTTACAAGGCACAAAATACTTCTATCTGGCCTTTCACAGATCTAGCCTACCTATGATTAAGTCACCCTGATGGAAAAATATAAAACAGCTCATTCTCTAATTTGATGAGCTTTACAGCTACATAAAACATGGTTTCAATGTTTCAGAAGGAAGAAGGGCTAAAGCAGATACTACTTGATATCATTTCCATGACACATTCTCAAAACTCTCAACCAGTAGTGATGTTTACGCAAAAATAAAATGTTTACCGTCACTAACACTTCCCCATCCAGTCACAACACAGATCTCAGAGGAAAACAGAGGCTCCGTGCTGTGTGGGAGACACACTGGCCTCACCACTGAGTTGAACTCCAGAGCAGAGCTCAGCTGTATTAGGGCGATGTCAGAGTCAAAGGTCAGTCTGTCAAAGTCTTCGTGCACCACAATGTGTTTTGCCCTTCTCACCTGTATTGTTAGCAAGCAAGAGATTACAAGGCAAAGTCAATGAGTTGAACAACTTCCTTGTATACTGGTCCAAAATAATCTTAAATCTCTGCATTTCCACACATCAGTAATGAAGATGACTTTGTACTAAATTAAAAAGGGCAATCTCTGTTAATAATTTACAGGAGTCCATGCACCGCTTTCTGAGGACTGGTGGTCCTGGAAAAACCAGACTATGGTGGACCTGTGTACATGGACCTGAATTTGCACTTCCTGACTCACCTCACCTAATTTTCAGATTAAATGTGATCTTAAATGGTATCTTTAAATGTTAGTATAAATGATAAGTATACGAGGGCATTAGGGGATTAATAACTCCATGTTTTAGCTAAATGTATTCCCTGGCATGTGAAAATTTAGGCAGAATAACCATTAAAACCATTTCTCACCTGCTCAGTTGGTTCCTTCAAGGTTCTGTCATGGTCTCCAGCAACAATGGTCCACAAGAGTGGATTATTTTTCCTGGAGAGAGAAGAACAACAAAAGTTTGTCATGAAAACACATTTTTCACCATTTGGTCTAACCCCTTCTGGCCCTACCAACATGCACTGTTCAGTTCAGTCAGGGGCCACCCACTACCCTGTCTGGCACCTTTGTGTAACCAGCAATGCTACACTCTGCCTCCTGACCTACCTGAGGACAAGTTCCTAATTGTGTATCTTGCCCCCTTCTTTTGGCCATAAAATGTCTTTGGAGCCCTTATCAAATATCACCAAAGACTATTTTTAAGTTAAGAAGGAAAAAAGAAAAGTTAGAGCTCATTTTAATTTCATAGTGATATTAGGAATGCATGAAAAAAATTACCTTCATCATGAGGTAGATTCTGGTCCATGTTTTACTGTTAAAAGTATCCAAACATTATATTACAGGAACCAGAATTGATGAAACTCAGGTTAATAAAGATTTGTCAATTCAAAAATAGGTAAAATTCACGTATAGTGTTAGAGGTCAGGGCACTGATTCCTTTTAGAGGGGTGATTATTGGGAGAGCCTCGAGGGGGGCCCCTATTTGTTTCTTGACCTGGGTGCTGGTTACACGGGTGTTTGCTTTGTGTAAATTCCTCTAACTGTACTAAAGATTTGCACACATTTGACATACTTCAAAAAGATGTTTAAAAATTTAAATGTACATCCATTAATTTGCCACATCAAGATCTCCAGGGCTCCCCTGGTGGCACAGTGGTTAAGAATCCACCTGCCAATGCAGGGGACATGGGTTTGAGCCCTGGTCCAGGAAGATCCCACATGCCGTGGAGCAACTAAGCTTGTGCTCCACAACTACTGAGCCTGCGCTCTAGAGCCCGCGAGCCACAACTGCTGAAGCCCACGTACCTAGAGCCTGTGCTCCACAACGAGAGAAGCCACCACAATGAGAAGCCCGCGTGCTGCAACGAAAGGTAGCCCCTGCTCACCGCAACTAGAGAAAGCCTGCGTGCAGCAATGAAGACCCAGTGCAGCCAAAAATAAATAAATAAATTTTAAAAAAAGATCTTCAGTTGAAAAAATATCCAAGTAAAGAGTCTCTCAATTGCCAGAAGTACACTGTCACTTCAGCTCGGAGATTAAGTTTTCGTTTTTCAAAACTGTTTCTTCAGTAAAATTTATTGAAATTATTTTTCAATAAACTTTATTCAAAGGAGATGCTTCTTAATACACATAGGCATCTTCTCTCTAGTCATAACCATGCTCATTTCAATTTCTTGCATGATGAGTCTGACTCATTCATGTGTTTCAATGTGCCTCTATTAAGGGAACTAACTTAGGTAAAGTGCCTGGCAAGTACTCTACAGATGGCAAAGACTCCATAATGGTAGCCATTTATTATTATCATTGTTCTTATCTGTCATGCACTCTAATGGAAGGATCAACTTTATTCTCAAAGTCACCCTCTAAATCATTACTAACTTATTTCTTAAAGCTGTTACCAAGCTGTTGTCCTAGAATCATACCCCTGCCCTTGCCTTGAAAGGAAACCAATTGCTCGTATCTAAGTCTCAGGAGGAAGCTGCAAAGAGAAAACAAGAACTGGTTAGACCCAACTAGGCTCAAGATGGCAGAAGATTTGACTTCCACTAGACCTTGGACCTCATTATATGCTCATTGTAATACAATAGCTAAATGACGTACCCACCAGCACCATGACAGTTAATGGTTGCCATGACAACACTGGAAAAGCCCATACAAGAACTGAAAAGGAGTGCTGCATCAGTTCCAGGTCCAAACCACACCCTTGTTCTCTGATAAGTCATGAATATTCCTCCCACTCTTTCCAATTCCCTCCATTTTACTTCGACCCTCCTATATATATGGTGTCTCCACCAGAATTGGGTTAAGAAGTTGAATTTCGAACTAAATTCCCACTTCTCCATTCTTCTGCCATTGAACAAAGCTTCTGCTGTCCCAGTCTCAGCATTGGTTTCATGATTGGCTGTGTGAATCCGAGTGGAAAAAGAACCTCCCTGGCTGAGACAAGGGGTGTCCCGGCAGGTGTCCACGTGACCAATTTGATGACAAATTCATTCTACCTTTTTATACAGAGAATAGTGTCCACAATACAAAGAAATAATAAACATCATGGTAGAGTTGATAATGTAGCTCACAATCTCTAGTGAAGAAATTGTGCACAGTCATCAAATATCCTTTTATTTGGTAGAGAACACTGTAAAAAGTATATGACAACACAACATACACTTTATAAAGCAACAAAGCTTGAGATTTCTCCAATATGGGACAATAGCTGAAGGTATCAATTTATGAATTTCTCTAGCCTTTCTTCCCACTTGCCCATGATCAAGCTTCATTTCTTGCATCCTTATGGCCCCATCCCCAACGCAACAATGGGACATGTATCACTTACTGCAACAGGAGAAGAAAGAATAACTGCTAAGTTACAGAAAGGGGCTGAAATTGAAAAAACCGCTGATTTAGGTTTGAGACAGAAAGATTCCAACGCACAATTGCAAAGTGAGTTTAGTGCCCTAAAGTAAGTTAAAAATCCCACATGATCACGAAGACCAGAGTGGAGTCAGCAAAATAAGAACACACCAGGTTTTTCCTAAGGATAGAACAACATTACCCAGGAACTTGTTAGAAATACAGACTCTCCGGCCCCACACCAGACTTTAAGTCAGAAACCCTCCAGGCAATTCTGATGTTTGCTAAAGTTTGAGAACTAATACTAAGGGTAACCAGTGCCAGGGACAGTAGTATATGGGAGGTGATACAGTGTTGCTGTCAGTCGTCCTTATTGTCTTTGGAACACTACCCAGCAATGCCAGCCAGCCTGGCACCTGGTGACCTTCAGCAAAAATGATGTCTATCTCAGCTCCCAGATTTTGCACACTTCCTCAGCTGGCTCATCCCACATGGCAAACCTGCCTTCTCAGTGGATTTGGATACGCAGAAGCCCCCTTCTATGGAGGATGGAGCCCTGGATGTGTATAAGATTGATGAAGCTGAGGCAGGGAGAAGCAAGTCCTTGAAGGAATCAGCTGAAGAGTTCCCTAAAGGCAAGGCATGAAGGGAACATACTACCTCGGTTATACCAACATATCAAACACTTCTGGGGTAAAGATCTATATAGTTCAAGCTTCAAAAAGATATTTTTCTGGTCAAGTAAGTTAGGCAACTATGAAAAGTTAAAAAATGAGGTGCACAGACATTTTTCATATCAGTATAAATACAAGGCACAATGTTTTGTGCAAAAAATTATAAAATACTACAAAGTACATTTAATGTGCATAAACATTAATGGAAAATCAGATAATTAAAACATTTTAATATTGATTACTTCCAGAGAGGCGGAATGGATTAGTGAAATGGAGAAGGTAGTTTAGATTTTACCTGATAACTTTATTTAACTGCCTTTTAAAACAAACATTATTACTATTTTAATGAAATTTTACAAAGAAACCAAGAAGGTTCACTAATGATATTGGACACAAGTTCTTTTTGTGGTTAACTTAAATGGTTCACAAACATTTTTAGCTGACTCTGTTTATTAATCTCAATTGACTCATCAAGTTGAATATTCTACCTTGTGAAGAATGGTTTGCTGTGGTTGGTATCTTGCTGCAAGGAGTCATGGTCCATGACATTAATTCAGGAACAGACTAAACTATTTGACAAGGGAGTCTGCCAAAGCTTCTGCTGTGCCTCTGGTATCAATACTAATAGCTGTTTTCTCCAATGCATTAATTTTCACTAATTAGTCAGCTATAACTGAGGTTTTTCCATGGTACATAAAAATGCACTTTGATAGAATTCTTATAAAATGGCTTCTCCAAGGGCAGAAGGTGTTAGAATGAACCATGTGGTTACTGGATTGAGTTGGAAATACTCGCATGAACTCATGTTTACTTTAATATAGGTACAGATAGATAAATATGTTTATATAAGTGAGTTAGTATGCATACTTACATTTTCTAGCTCTTTCAGCTAAGAGGGCCTAGAAACAATAGCCCCCTAGTAGCAAGCAGGGTGCTCAGCACCCAGATCTTGACTTCTCATGCCATTCTCCAATAAAATGAACCAGGGCTCATGGGAGAAATGGCTGTTTCTAGGACTGAGAGGGGAATACATAAGATGAACCTGGAGCATCCTGTAGTGTCACAAAGGATGGGGAAATATCAAAAAGACAAGAAGCCACTCTGAAAGAACTCACAGTAGTCAAAGCTGGAACAATTTGAGCAACAAAATAAATATACAGTATTTATAAAAATAAATATTTTCAAGTCCGCACCGATATAAATACATGATTTAATAAATAAAAGGAAGAGAAGAGGTAAATCTCCCATACAGAAGAATTTCAAATAATTTTTGTAGGAAGCTATGCACTCAAGAAGGTGGAGCTCAATGCCCAACTGTTTGAGTGTGGGCTACCCTTAGCCACTTGCTTCCAAAGAGTAGGTAAGGATGGGGGGAAGATGCACCTTTACAGTGGAGACACCTGGTAAACACTGCCCGGGCCAGTGATGGAGGTTAACGTCATCATTGAGAAGTCATGTTGACAGCTTGTACCCTTGATATGATGTGATAAGAAGAGCATGTTGCCTCTGTGTTCCTCCTCCCCCAAATCCATAATCCCAGTAAAACCGTGAGAAAAACATCAGATGAACTCAAACTGAGGTACATTCTACAAAATACCAGATGAGTACTCCTAAATACTGTCCAGGTCATCAAAAACAAGGAAAGTCAGTGAGACTCAGAGCCAAGAGGAGGTGAAGGAGACAGGACAACTAAATGGACCTTGGTGTCCTGAATGGCAGAGGGAACAGCAACTACACAGACCTTGAGAAAGGAACAAGCACAGCATGTTTGAGGAAGGGGGTGGGTCCACCGGGGACAAGCAGGGGAGGGGTCAAGATGGAGTCAGGGACAAGGAAGTGTTCTGGACCTTGGCTGTACATTGGAATCATCTGGAGAGTATTTATTTATTTTGAAGTATAGTTGATTTACAATGTTGTGTAAATTTCTGCTGTACAGCAAAGTGATTCAGTTATATATATATATATATGTACATTTTAAAAAAAATATTCTTTTCCATTATGGTTTATCATAGGATATTGAATATAGTTCTCTCTGCTGTACAGTAGGACCTTGTTGTTTATCCTCGGGAGTATTTAAATATACAGGGTCCAGAACCAACCCACAAGTGATTGCCTTAACTAGTCTGGACTGAAAATGAATTAATTACAGTTACACACATTCACATGATTTAATCTATATATGTTATAAAGATAAAAGCAAATCACAGAATTTAAACTATAGTTCTTTTACATTAATATCAAAACCAGGAAAAACAAGGCGATATACTGGTTTTAGGGATTCATAGATTTTAAAACGAAAAAAAAAAAAAGCAAAGGAATTATGAACACAAAATTTAGCGTAGTGTTTACCTCTTTGGGAGGGGCACTAAGGGGTTTTGAAAGGAAAGTGTAAAGATCCTTCTTACACTAGGTAGTAGGGACACAAATATACATTTACTAACTATTCTTTAGATTACATATGTATATTATGTACAGTTTTTCATATCATGGCATAGTTTACAATTTAAAAACATGGAAAGTTCAGTGATCAAGGTGTGGATTATCCTACTGTGCTCTCCACTGCCGTGAACCATACTTTAAAAGGAACAACGCTAAACCAATCCAGGGTAAGGTACATTGCATGGTGAGGCCTCTGGAATTACAAACAATAGAACAATGAGCATTTAGTTTAAGGATTAAGTTAAGGGCAATGTGAGAGGGCTGTTGAAGTATAGGAAGGGCTGTTGTGTGATAAAAGAAAGAGATTGAGTTCTTGTTTTCTGGAACTGCAGTAAATTTAGATCAATAAGTTTCGGCTACAGAGAAGCAGACTTGGGCTTAACATAATCAGAGATCCCTATAAATGGGATGAACAATTTCAAGATTTGATTTGCTTTTTCCTCACTGACATTGTTTAAATAGAGGCTAGGTGGACCTGGGGCAGAAACACTGAAAGGAAGATTCATGCTTTAGAATTAGCCTGGATGATTTTAGAAGTTAGACAATTTTACGTATGTCCCAGGTATGGTACATAAGTACATTAGTAAAATATCACCAGTCTCACTCACGATTGCACACAATGGGCTGCAGTCAGAATCCAAACAGAGCTGATGATGGCACCTCCACACTGGTGATTGCCTAGAAACCTCAAACCCACCTGCCACGGCCAGCAGTGGGGGCAGGCTTCTTCCCCTCCTGCAGTTCTCCTGGAAAGCCACTGGGGACTAAATGGAGGGATGCCACAGACACCTACAGCAAAGGAGATCAAACTAATGACCCATCCAACTGAAATAATTAAGAACACACTCCTCCCCCAATGGCTTGCCATAGCCAGCAGTAATAATTCCCAAATACCAGATGAGTTTCATGAAGATATAGATTCCTAAGACCCATCTCTGTAGAATCTGACTTTAAAAGCTTGCCTAGGTGACTCTGCTAAGCAATCAGGTTTTTAGGTACTGGCCTAAAAAATTATATTTATTCATTCATTTAACAAATATTTATTTAGTGTTTGGTGTTGCCAGGCACTGTTCTAGACATTGGTGACATATCAATGAACAGCATACTGTAGACAAAAATCCTGGCCCTTATGGAACTTACATTCTAGTAGGAAAATTCTGTTTATTAGCAAAGGATACAAGGTTCTTTATTATACATCCTTGTTTAATCTCTCTTTCTCATTGTATAAAACCATTTACCAATCCCCAAACATACCAAATTGGCTCAGACATCCAAATGCTGTTCTCTTGTCTGGAATACTGCTGTGACTCAGATCAAGTACTATCTTCTCCATGAAGTCTTCTCTGACTCCCCCATAAGAGGCAGACAATTTCCCCTCTTTATAGCTCCCTGTGCAACTTTCTATTGATATTAAAACCCATCAACTAGAACATATGAAATACATGCATACAGAGCAATGAAAGTTCATAATATTTAACCAGAGACTTAAGATTATAATGAAGTTAAGAGTTGCAAGTGTGTTAAAAAAATGAAAACAAAAAAGTTTTGTTTTCACCCTTTGCCCCTAAATGCAAAATCATATTAAACACAGAATTTAGGAAGATATTTTAAGTTTGCATAGGAATAAATGAGGACAAGGAATGCTCTCTGTACCTCTTTTTTCCTGTCATAAAGCTTATTTCTTCTTCCCTCTATCTATAAGTCTATACTCAAACCCAAACAGGGTTCTGGAAATTTCACGGGCTTAAATATAAAACTCATTCTTGCTCACTGTGAAGCTATATCAATGCATGAGGCTTCTGTAAAGAGACATCTAGTTAAAGAAGAAAGGAAATTAAACAGATAAGAATCACATGGTCATCAACTCACCATATGGAATATCTTTTGTAGAAGATACAGCATTGGTTTTTGAAGATGATGTTGATCCAATTTTGTTTAAAGAATCTGCAGAGGAAAAAAATATTAATTGAAAATATTTAGAGTAGCCTATAGTAGCTGACCCTACTTGCTTACATGGTCAATCATAGAACCACTCTTAAGTTGATCTAACTACTACTATCTTTCAAATGTTATGCCAGATCCCATACATGTGATTTGGTCGTATATCTCTTAATATCCCTGTTGTACCCTTTTAAGCATTTCTTCCTTCCTTGGCTCCATGAAATTACTCTCCTGGTTTTTTAAAAATATATCTATGGTCATCTTTTCCCAATCTCAGTCTTTATTTCAGGATCCTATTCTTCATTCTGAAAGATATTCCACGAAAGGACTGTTCATAGCCCTATTTTTATTCATTTACATATATATGACGTCCAAATGTCCATCTTCGATCTAAATCTCCTTCCTGAATTCTGGATCTAGGACTGCTAGATCTAGGACTAATTCTAGGACTGCTGGATACCTCCATCTGAATCTCCCACAAGCTCATAAAAGTCCACATATCTCAAATGGAATCAATTGATTTTAACAGTCAAGATGCTCTTGTTATGTTTCTCTGTATCATTTAATGACTCCACAATCCATGCAGCCACTCAAGCTAGAATCCTGGAAATCATGCTGGAATTTTTCTTCTTCATATATCTCCTTCCCCACAACATAACTAATCAAGCAATGTCAGAATAAATTCTTACCATGATTTCCTCACTACTCTGCTTGTGAGTGAGCTCACCCCTGACCTCTAATGCCATCTTCTACATTACCACTAAGGTTTGAACTCTGGCTCCACCTTGTGCCAGCTATGCACCTTGGGGAAAGTTATTGAACTCCTAAGCCTCTGTTCCCTCATCTGTGAAAAGGGGCACAGTATACAAACCTCTTAGGTTTGTACTGAGGAATAAATGTAATAATACATGTGAAATGCTTAGTCCATACCTGGTACAGGGTGAGTAATCAATAAATGTTAACTAGATATGCTGTCACTGTGGTACTTAACATTTAATATCCTGTGTCCATCATGATCTAACTCTCGCCTTTTTTATCATTCCCTCCAAAACTCCAACAAAACTGAGGTATTTGTAGCTTTCTGTACAACATCCATTCTCTTTCACATTAGGGTCTTTGTATATGATATTCCTTTTGTCTGAGTAAAGGCTACTTTATTTTCTAGAATGACTAGAATCATACTAATCCTTCAAAGCCCTCAAATATCCCCAAACAGAGCCAATCTCATTTCTGAGTTACACTCTCAAATCTGAATTATCTACTTTTCATATAAGGTGCTTGGAATCTTTTTTGATCATCTAGTGGACACAGTTTCTTGGCATCATCTGAAGTACTTCTTAAAGCACAGGTTCCAGGGCCCCATTCCACATCTACAGTATCAAAATCTTTGGGGGTGGGCCCAGGAATCTGCATTTTAATTTTGCTACCTAGGTGATTCAAGCACCCTAAATTTAGATAAACATGGTTAAATTATCTTCCCTATAACAATTTTCATAAGCAAAATATCACAATCATACAAGTGTTTATACTCACCTGAGGGTAAAACGCTGAATCTAGCCTTGAAGCGTTGGAAATTCTTTTCACCATCACTTTTAAAATGAATCACCATCATATTACCAGGACTGAATACCCGAGTGGCGTTCAAGATTTCACAAAGCTTGGCTGTAAAAGTTTTAGGGAACTTTGCTTTATAGTTACAAAAAATTAAAAATCAGAAAACAGAGGTAAAACATCATCCAATTACTTTTCTTCCAAAAGGTTTTGTTTTCTCCAACTTTGCTTTGTACCCTTCCATTTCATGTGGGAATCAAACACTAGTTTCAAGATAACAATGTACTATAATTTTATCTCGCAGGAAAAACTCTATAGATAGGGCAAGATTATCTGACTTTTAGTATGCATAGAAACCTCAGTTGACTGTTAATTTATAGACAATGAGAAGAGGTGAATTAAAGAAAATCCCAGGGGCTTCCCTGGCGCAGTGGTTGAGAGTCCGCCTGCCGATGCAGGGGATGTGGGTTCGTGTCCCGGTCCGGGAACAATATGCAGTGGAGCGGCTGGGCCCGTGAGCCATGGCCGCTGAGCCTGCGCATCCGGAGCCTGTGCTCCGCAACGGGAGAGGCCGCAGCAGTGAGAGACCCGCGTATCGCAAAAATAAATAAATAAAAGAAAAAAAAAAAAAAAGAAAATCCCAAACTTGGTATTCCTCCTTCCAAACTGAGCATGGCTACACTTTATGTGATAGGTAACACATCTGAAATCTGCTTCACCTAAACCCCACTCTATATGGGTCCCGATCTGCTGCATCCGGGAATTGGGCTCCCTTCACCTGCCCTGACTATCCAAATAAACATTCCAAAGTTATCTATATTCCTGGTCTCCAACCCACACTACACCTAGCTGAGGGACACATAGTAGGTGTTAAGGATGTGGTAACATGGCCAGAACGGATAATTTTTCATACACAGTAAATTGGTAGGTCAAAGCTGAAAGTATATTTGAAGAATTTAGTTCAAAATTTAACTTTTAGGGCTCACGTAGAAATTATAGCTTTGAATAATCTTTGAATAATCTTTTTTTGGTTACTTTTCTTGGACATAAAAATGAATATATCAGCAATTGAAGGGATTAATACAGAAAATAATGTTTAAAATTTTACCTTAAATCTCTGCCAAAAATTTACTCAGTGTTAACATTTTCTTTTTTCCCTGGGACCTCCTTTTCACCTTCCAAATATTCTGAAACATTCTTCAAATTTTGCATGTTTCTATTAAAAAACTTTACTGGTAAATCAGTTGAAGTGATAGATTTTAAAGCTAAAGTTTTATGGCATCATGAGTTTCCAGTATAAGAAATTCATATCCCCACTCTACCTCATGGTATCCAAGGAAGCCAGCCAATGCTCCAACTACTCTGGTTTGTCTCATACTTTTCAGATTAAATTTAAAGGACAGAATGTTACCACCCAACCCATGTTCCTCTTCAGGATCACCATAAATCACAACAGCATGAGTACCGTTTTGGTTAAATTCAATACTAAGGTCTTCAAATGTCAGCTGTATAAATTATAAACATAACCAGAGAAGTGGTCAAAGAGAAGATACAAACTTTTAAAGTTTCCCTCTATACGTTAAAGGGCTCTCAGTCACACCCTCGTATTCCGTTGGTAGAAGGGTAAACAACTGCAGCCTCTTTGGAGGGCAATTACTACCGGATTTAAAGACACAAACCCTTTGACCCAGTGAGTCCACTTCTGGGAATTATATACATCCACATCGTCCAAAAACAGTGACACAGGAACGTACCAGCATTGCTGGCATGGGCAAAGACTGGCAACTCACTAGAAGTCTGTTAATAGGGAACTGGTGTAAGAAATTAAGGGAAATCACACAATATAATTTAATGCAGTTGTTGTAAAGAAGCCCTCTGGGCTTATCTAGAAAGATCCTTGAGATATTTTTAAGTAGAGAAAGCACTGCCAAGCAATATGAATATATACATGTTTGTAAATGCTCGGAATCTCTCTCTATGGATATTCCAGAAACTTATCAGTGTTTGATTTCAGGAAGTAGGATGGGAGTTAGATAAGTAGGAGACTTACTTTTTGTTTTAGTCTCTTTTAAACTGCTAAAACATTTTAAACTACATACAAAGATCCCCTTTTAGAGTTAAAAAAAGAGCAAATAGAAGATCTTAATCATTTGACAATTTAACAGTCCTGATGAGGCAAGTTCTGCTAAACACACACAGCTAATTTCTTGATGAAGTAAAGGCCTCCTTAGTTGCTTGCCTTTATAGTGTGTTTCTCTGGAGCATGAATCAACCAGTGACACCCTACATTCCTGGGATACAGGTGAGGATAGCCGGCAGAGTGAATCATCCCTTCCACCACCAGCACAGCCCCACTCCCACATCCTGAACCTATGGAAGTGTTGCGGAAATCCTAGGTGAATAGCCAAAGGCATTCCCTCTTCTTCACCCTCATATCACAGAAAAACAGCAGGGAATTGCATGCCTGATTTAATACCTACCTGCTTCTGAGTTCTTCCGTATAGCAGTAAAGGTAAGCTCAAAGCTGCTTCCACTGTTGTCTGTATCAGAAAAAAAGGAAACTGTGGCCTCATTGGTCTCTGTCAGCAATGGTGAGGGTAATATATTTCCACAGACCTTACCTTAAAAGCGAAAGAAATTGAAACAAGATTACTGAAAAATGATGGAAACAAACTTAGACACGTGCTTTTCTGATACTACCTTCCATGAACTCTCTGTTCTAAATACACCAAAGTACACAGTAGTCCCTTTAATTCATTCTACACTCTGCTTCAATAATTTATACTCCATTTACTTCCTCATACCCAATCTCACATGTCCAAATTCTACTCATCCTTCAGGGTATAACTCAAAGTCCAGCTCTCCATAGACATTCCCTGACAACCAATGGAAACGAGAGCTTTGCTGAACCCCAAAGCACATATCCTACTCTACGTCATTTCCTACTTTGTGGTACACCTTTATTTACTTCACGAAACTGCAAGCTCAGTAGGGCAGAGACTGCTTTTACTCTGTATACATCCAGTACTTGGTATGATATCTGGTTTAATGATTGGTTTAAAGAATGATTACTGGGTAAAAAGGCCTAAAGCATGAAATCATTTAGTCAATAAATATTATAACCCTTAGCACAGTACCTTGACTATAGCATTCTGTCAAATATTTCTGAAGAAATATTTATCCTAATCATTGCCCATATGGAGATCTACAGACCGAGGTCTATGCCAGCTCCAGAGACCTTCTATCACGCTTAACACATAATATTTCAATTAAAGTAAATATATCAGTTATGCTTATATAGCTTGTAAGAGGTATTCAATAAAAGAAACGAAATGACATGAAATTACCTATTGTCATGAGAAAAAAGAACATTATAAAACAATGTAGAGTTCAGTGTGTACAGTTAATATGTATAGATAAATATACATCAAAATGTTAGCAACATTTACCTCTAGGTGGTAAGGTTATGAATGGTTTACATTTTCTTCCATATGCTTTCTGTCTGTACCAGATTTGGCAAACATGCACCCGCTTTTGTGGTAAGAAGGAAAAAACTGACATGGCCTTGAAAGGAAGTTTCTGACAATTGTGAGATCAATTTCGTTCAATACTGCTATTAAACTTGAGGAAGGAATCGATAAACCTCAGGAAATATGCTGGTCTTTGCTTCCACTCTTACCACACACACTCTTGGCCCCTTCAAAAGGGCACAGTTTGCAAGATGAAATAATTTCCCTGTGTGCAGAAATCTAATTTCAGATCCTTTAGCCCCTCTTTGGTTGTTTGGATACTCTAAAATGACAAATGAAAATAAATGTAGCATACTCACTAATAAGCACTCCACTGCTTGATTGTAAAGATACATAGTCATGGTCACATTCAACTTGATTTTCTATGTCTAAGCTTGTAAATTTTATTAGGATAATTTTATTTTCTGGTACCATTATTTTCCAGATACATAAGCTGCAGAGGAGAAAGTGAAGAAAGTATAATAAATGGCAGAGTCAAGTGTGACAAATAAGATCTAATATCTGAGGTTTAGCTCATAACTCAATACTAAAATTTTACAGGATATTAGAAGGTAAAAGGCAAAGGAAATTCTTTATGTGAGAATAATTTGTTTATGCTCAAATTGCCGTCATTTCTCCAAGAAATGGAGCAGTATTAATCAGAGAATGGTCAGAAACCACCCTTTAAATTTCATTTAGTTATAAAATGCAAGAATTTTGATCTACGAATTTAAGAAACCTAAGATTCATCTAATTTATTAGTCTAATTGAAAATTCATAATATTCACCCAGAAGTTGAATTATGGATTATGAATTATGGATTGACCATGCAGCATATTTTAACCCAAAGCAGCCACATCCTCCTAGGTCAGCCTAAATCATAATCCCTGTAGTTGCTATGTTATCCAACTTCCAGTAAGGTAAGCTGTGACCTTTTACAAATATCTTTAGAAATATGTTTAAACATTTTGAAAGTAGTTTACATAATTTAACACACAATCATTTACCTTTATTTTTCTACATGAATTCATACTATTTACTCAAGAAAAGAAATCCCAATCGGCCAGACATTCTCAGGGTCTTCTACGGCTCACATGTATGTGAGTTCAAAGTAATTGTTTTTTTTAATTGACAAGTGACCCTCTGTCATGATTTTAATTGTTCATTTATTTACTTTTTAATTTTTTTGAAGTATAGTTGATTTACAATGTTTCAGGTGTACAGCAAAGTAATTCAGTTATACATACATACATATATATATATTTTTTTCAGATTCTTTTCCATTAAAGGTCATTCCAAGATATTGAATATAGTTCCCCGTGCTAAACAGTAGGTCCTTGTTGTTTATCTATTTTACATATAGTAGTGTGTATCTGCTAATCACAAATTCCTAATTTATCCCTCCTCACCCCTCTCCCTCGTTTGGTAACCATAGTTCATTTTCTATGTTTGTGAGTGAGTGAGTGCAAAGCAATCTTATCTGGAACCTAACATGTCAGAACGAGCTTCCTTCTAAAGCTCCATAGTCTTTATCAACAACCTGAGACCTGCTAACTGTCCCATTGCCCTTCAAGTAATAACTTCTCAGGACTGTAGGAGTTATCCAACCCTTTTATGCCCAGTTTCCAAAACCAAACACTGTAATTCTCACCAAACATCTTCTCCTTAACCAGAAACTCCTTGCTTTACTCTTTTTCTATTCAAGCTCATCATCCTGAACTAGATGTAAAAATAGACTGCCTAAAATATTATTAAAATTACTTTTTAATCACTTTGATTTAAAAAGCAATAAGCTGCCTAAAATACGACGATGCCCACTTTTCTAAGCACTTTAGTTGGAAAAACACTCCATATCCATCTTCCTTCTTGGGATTCATTACCCCCCTCTGAGGTAGGCAGGAGAGAAATTACTCCCCCTTCTCCAAATAGAAAAACTGGGATTGATATTGAAAGAGTCATCACATCTCACATATAATGGGAAATACAGTTTAGGCTTTATGACTTCAAAGGCCACTGCTTTCTCCTGTTTTCATCATATTATTTTCTAATTCAAAATCTCTAACTCAAAGATGGAATATAGATTTCAAGTCACATGCCAACCTTGATTTATTGTTAGTGGTTGCTGCATTAAAAGGATTCTGAGGTCTAGTCAAGCTGAGTGAGAGAGGGGTACCAGAATTAATCATCGATTTATTCATTCAAATATCTATTGAGCAGTTATTATATGCCAGGCACTGTTCTAGGCTCTAAAAGATGTAATATCTTCCTTGGAAGGAGACCATCTGAATGCCATGAATCTGCCATTTCTGAGAGTCTAGCTACCAACTACCAGAATAAAGACAGGCTTGGAGAGACTATAACTCCCTGCTTCACTTTCACATTATCTCTTTCTCCCTTACCATTGGCTAATTAACTCCATTTGGAATTTAAAAGACCCTTCTTCCATCATTCAAGTTTGCTTAGCATGCTGGAGTCACTAAGTAGGTAAATTGGCTCCATGCCTTATTACATTTCTAAGACATGTCTTTTCACATTTGAACATTCTAAAATCAGAAGGATCTTACAATGGAGTCTTAAAGTTCGGTTAGAAGGATCTCACAATGTTAGTCTTACAATCAATGTATTGAAAGAGTGTTTCAAGAGAGGATTTGTAATAGTTTTGGCCAGTCACCTGGGGGTTGACTGCATACTACGTAATTTTTCTGCTTGAGGTGTTTTAGACTACACTAGTGGTGAAAATTTTAGACTACAGACTTGCATGAATATTAGCTTATGATTTGAATTCTCAGGAAGATTTGTACCCCTCCCTATATCCATTGCCGAGGTTGTGGCATGTAACTTTCCACATGAGTGGGCTTATGCCTTGTATAGCCTTACACTGAAGGTATAGGTGTCCCACTTTTATATGGAGATCTCCTAATCTTGGGTATTTTGTTTTCTTTATTGGTGGTACATAAAATAACAATGAACAACCAGTCTGTTTTCGATGTGTTGAAATATGGTACAAATTCATGCTGATATTGAGTTGTAATGTAGCTGAAAGTCTTATTCTCTTTAGTTGACTTCTTACTTTAGTCCCTACAAGCTATTTAATATCTTAACTTCGTTCTCTAAACATGAAGCAGTTCAAAGCTTACAATTACTAAAACAGCATCTAGTGCAAATTCCTTCAAATTTCCCATAGATTACCTTGACATTTTCTGTTCCTTTCCCAGGAAAGGAATTATCTTCCTTCTTTCCAAAGCTAAATCTTTATTTGTTGTGTTCTCATGAAACTTCCTTCACATACATATGTATTTCTCTTGACTAATCACTCTTACTCTCTCTCCTGCCCATAAGAACAGTTAGCCCTACCCTTCAAAAAGCAAAATCCCCATTTCTCTTAATCCTAGTGCCCTATTACCCAAAGCCACTGTCCCACCTTCCTCCTTCCCTTCACTGCTCAGCTGTCTTCCTCGTCTCAAACAATAGCAGCTCCTTCCTTCCTGTAGGTCACAAACCTTCAACACAATCTTAAGTCTTTCTCTCTTGAAACCCAAATTTTCAAGTTGTTAGCAAATCCTGTGGCTCTACCACTTCTCACCACCTCGACTGTTACAAACCTGGTCGAAGCTGTCTTCATCCTTACCGGGATTGCTGCAGGAGCTAGTCTTTCAGCTCTTGCTCTTGCCTGTTCTATGGTCTATTTTCAACACAACAGCCAAAGAGATCCTTTAAAATGTGTCAGATCATGTTCCTCCTCTGCTCAACATCCTCCAGTGGCTCCATATCTTACAGTAAAATCCAAAGTCCTTCTTATGCTCTATAAGTTTGGCCACTCATAATCATGACCACTTTCGCCCTCTCTCACTTAGCTCTAGCTAAGTGCTTGGTTTTTTTTTTTTTTCTGCCAGGAATATCCCTTCCCAAGATGATCGTTTGATGGCCTCACTCATTTCATTCAAGTCTTTGTTCAAATATCATTTTCAAAGTACAGTCGTCCTGAACATCTTCCCCAATTATTGCATAACCCAGCACTCTCTACCCCTCCTTCTTGCTTTATTTTCCTGTACAGCACTTACCATCTTCTACTGTATGTAATATTATCTGTATTATCCCCACTTTCCACCCCACAACTTGCCCCACAAAGGAAAACATTTTTGTCTGTTTCATCCTCTGCTGTATAACTAGCACCTAAAATAGTGCCTGACACATCTTAGGGCCTCAATTAATTTTTACTATTTGGTGAAGAGACACCAAGTCTTCAACAATCTCTTAATGCATTGTGAATATAGCTTCTAACCTTACAATTTTACTGAATCAATTCCTAACTTTTGAATTACCATATCCAATGGCATTTTATCTGAACTCATTTTGACTTTTGCAATGTTTGATACTACTAAGAACACCCTCTGTCTTGAAAGTCCTTCTTGCAGAGATCTCTTCAATACTTCATCTAAATTGAATCACAAGTTCTCTGTCTTTGAGGGTAAATTGTCTGTCATCTGTGTATCTCTTATCCAATAGATAAATGCTTTCTAAAATCTCACGCATAGCCATCCATCCTCTGCTCAAATATCCACTTATAAAGGAAATTCATTATCTCCTGCGCAGGCCATTAAATCTCAGAAATCTCTCAAATTAGAAACTCCTTTACATTGTACTGAAATCTACCTTCTTCTAATATTTACCCTCTGCTCTTGTTCTCAGCTCAGCAGTTAATCAGAAGTCCAATTCTGCTTCTATGATAGCCTTTCAGATAAATCAAGACAGTTCCTTCCTCCTGTCAAGTCTTCTTTGGAATGAATATATTCCTAGTTCCCTCCACCACATCTCCCAAGGCACTGTTTTGAATTTCTTTTGATCTTGGTCATTGTCCTTCAGGTAATTTCCAGGCTATCAATGTTCCTCTCTAACGATTGTATCTAGAGACCTCCTGCCTACACCCCAGCCCAGGACTCTAACAGAATAGGACTCTGGATGTTATTCATCTAAAAGTTTAAGCAAAGATGGCAAAGGCTTTATTGGTATTATATTATTACTAGGTTGACTCACAGAAAGTCAACTTAGACTCTTAATAAGCCTTTTAAATATGGGCTGCAATTAAGCCACATCATTTCTGTCCTATACTTGTAATGGATATTTACATTTATTTTACATTAATTTTGTAAATTATAATCTCACCACCATTTTGACTTCCCATTGCCCATGGCATAAAGTCTAAGCTTCTTCACATGGAATTCAAGGTCCTCCACAATTAAGGCCTTTTTATCTTCATCGTCCACTGCTACCCCAGTTCCTACTTACATTAACATTGTTCTCCAGCTGCACTGGGACACACTGTCCAAACAGTCCTGATATTCTTCACCTCCTGATATTTCTTATACACAATTCCCTCTGCCTGGCATGATCTGTAGAAATCTCTTATATGTTAGAGCTACAAAAGACATCATGAGCAATAAAATCATAACTATACTTCACTGTCTAGTTTCAATACCATCCCCTTAACTGAAGCATCTCTACCCCTCCCAACCATAGTACACACACCTCACAAATCTCTGCAATAGGAATTATTCTCTCCATTGTCAATAGTACCAACACACCTTGGTAGTGTGGATTATAAAGCTTATTTCACCTTGTTTTATAGTATAGTTATTTTTGTCCAGCTCTCTCCTCCTACCAGATTATAAACTCATGGAACTCTCATCTACCTTTGAACACCTTTCAATGCTCAATGCGATTTTAAAAATGAATGTAGAACACTTAAGAAAGTGAGATATTTGCAAAATTAATTTTTAAAGCTTAAAGATATTCTTAGCCATATAGAGGACAAGGTAGGTAAAAATTTTTTTAAGATACTGAAGCTTATAGATCATGAACTATTTTCCCTCTTCTAGGCAACACTGAACAAAGTATTACAATTATCACAGAAATAAGTGGGACAGGATTAACCACTAGATTCCCAAAACAATCTCACTACCAGCTGCTGTTAATGTTAGATATTTGAATACATCAATTCAGGTTAAGTTCCAGTGTTTGTTTGTTTGTTTATTTATTTATTTTTTCCTTTGGCTGTGCCCCGCAGCTTGTGGGATCTTAGTTCCTAAACCAGGGATCGAACCTGGGGCCCCTGCAGTGGAAGCCTGGAGTCCTAACCACCGGACTGCCAGGAAATTCCCCTCGTAAGCTCCAGTCTTAATGTTGATGATTCATACTAACAGGTATCAGAAATACCAATTAGCAAATATTTGTCATCCAATACCAGATAAAATATTTAGGGTTTTATGTTAATCAAATAAAGTAATTGAGATACCAGATAAAATTGCCAAAACATGGCCCCTTAAAATGGCATGATTTGGGGGAAAAACCCAGGGATCGTTTCTACCAGGGTTACGTACCGATTATGAGAATAGTTGCTCTCTTTCGAATGGGGATAACGAATCTTCCCATTTTCTCCAAATAATACTGTTCCCTGAGGTTTACAATCTTCCAAAACATAGGAAAAAAAAGCTGATTATTTTGCTCAGCCATGGACATTTCAAGACATATTGTACAGACTCAGCTTGAAGCTATATAATTTATATTATATAATTTGTATTTATGGGAATGCATTTGTTTGCAGGTGCCATGACCTATACTTTGTATTTGCAGACTTTGTTAGGAAAATTTCTAAATCATAATTTTAAAAATATATAATAATTTTATTAATTAACCATCTGATATTCTTTACAATACTTTTTACTGAGGTATAATTGACATATAACATTATATTAGTTTCAGGTTTATGACATGATTTGTTATTTATACGTATTGTGAAACAGTGAGTATAGTTAACATCCATCACCATACATAGGTACAAAAATATTTTTCCTTGTGATGAGGACTTTTAAGATCTACTCTCTTAACAACTTTCAACTATGTAACATAGTATCATTAACTATAGTCATCATACTGTACATTTTTATCTCCAGGACTTATTTTATAACTGGAAGTTATAACTTTTGACTCCCTTCACTCATTTTGCCCTCTCACCACCTCTGGCAACCACCAATGTGTTCTCTGTATCTATCAGCTTTTTTTTTTTTTTTTTTTTAATTCCACATATAGGTGAGATCACACAGTGTTTGCCTTTCTTTATTTCATTCAGGATAATGCCCTCAAGTTCCTATCCACGTTGTCACAAATGGCAAGATTTCATTCTTTTATATGGCTGAAGAGTATTCATAATATTCTTTACCTGAGTTCTTCAGATTTAACAATTATCCAATTTTCTCAAATCATGAGTCATAGTGAAGCTGTCAAATTATAGTGTATGAAACTAATATGGTGTTTTCCCATCTCTAACTTCCTGGGTTATAATAAAATACCTTTGTATAATGATATTAAAGTAAAAGTACACAAATTTTAGCAATGACATGGCAAGTCTCCAGCATTCGCTCAGAAATTTCAGACTCCTGTGCCACATTTTAATTGTTGGAAGCTAGAACAGGCAACTAGGCAATGAGAAGCTTAGAAAGATGATATTAAGGAGGTGTTATTTAAATAAATTACTTGTCACATTCTGATATTCATTTGATTGTGGAATTGATGGTTATTGCCTGATTTCATTGCCACTTTAAAATATTGTTACCATTAACCTTTGTTCAGCGCTTGTTAACCTCACGCCGGCCTCTCGCTGTTGTGGCCTCTCCCGTTGCGGAGCACAGGCTCCGGACGCGCAGGCCCAGCGCCCATGGCTCACGGGCCCTGCCACTCTGCGGCACGCGGGATCCTCCCAGACCGGGTCATGAACCCGCGCCCCCCGCATCGGCAGGCGGACTCTCAACCACTGTGCCACCAGGGAAGCCCTCTATTATATTTTTTTTGTACTCCAACACTCCCTACTTACCAAAGTTGGCTTTGTGTTTTAGATATAGCAGTGCAATATCAAAACTCATACATCCAAGTCTGTTGTATTTAGGATGGATAATAATTTCTGAGACAGGAATTTTCTGTTCCTCCTTATCCTTCTGAAAGAGGTTATACTCCCCAGCAGTCACAGTCAGATGCTTAATTTGCTTCCTAAAACCAAACAAAAATCTTTCAATAAGTCTAGCTGTCTCCCCCAGGAAAGACAGTCTTGGTTTCATGTAATTAAATGAAAGTGATTAATGTACCTTTAAGCATTTCTAAGTCTTAAAGGAAGATGTGTCTTTATTAGTGATTATTATCAATTGTTATAATTCCCTGTAAATTATAGGTATCTATAAAAAGTCATGGTTTTCAATCACAGAGTGTTTACATTCTGTGAACCCTTTCCCCTAGCATCAATTGTCTTTCTGCATAAAATATTTGTGTCTTCTTTTGTACATAAACCAGTCTATATATGCTCTACCATTTTAAGCAAGATAGAAAGGTTGTTCCTAGGACTGTCCTTCTTTTCCTTTTACTAGTACCCTCTTTTAATCTAGTCAAGTATCTGTTATTTCCACAGTATTTTCCCCTCCTAATTACTGAAACTCAGATTATTAGAACATTAGTGCATCTGTTCAACATTTGATGTTAATACTTTATTAAAATAAGTAACCATCACCCCTACCCCACCACTAACTCCACAGATCATCGATGATGTCTGGGATCTTTGGGGTCTCTGATTAGTAGGGTAGGAAGCACAAGAAATCTTGGGATATACACAAGTTTCTGGGAATCAGGAAGGTCAGTGGGCAGGTGGACCAGAGGGAAAAATTAAGAAAGGGACTAAGACTGAACCTTGTATGGTGTTTAGGGTGTCGAATCTCCCAATCCTATGGCCATGGATCAAGGTCTGATAAGTAATGGAAACCCACAACTTACTCATTGAGGCTAGCCAGGCAGTGTGCTGCTGTAACCCCCAGGTCATCTCGAATCAAGCTTCCTCCACAGAAGTGGTGTCTACCTAATTTCAGGGAGACCTGCCCAAGAAAAAAGTTATGAACACAACTAATATACATCTCCACACAGATGTCATCTCCTTCAGAAACATTTGAAATCAACTCTTCTAATATGATGTCACATTAAGACACTGATATAAATTGGTTAGGAAGAGATTTCCTATGAAATAAACTCTTTGACAGTGAGGTCAAGCCGGGTCTGGAGAAAAATTACATGTTAACCTGGAGTTGTAGTATTTGAAACAAAGGAAATAATTCACTGTTTTCTCATTAAGAAATCAATGTCTTTCTTATACCCACCTGCCACGGGTGTCCACCAACTGTTGAATTTCCCCAACTACTAACTCTAGAGAAGAACCCCGATTCCAAGATAGTTTCCGTACTTTTCAAATCAACTGCACGAATTCCGCACTTCAGTCCTGTGTGGGAGAGCATATGTGTGATCACACACACACACACACACACACACACACACACACGGCACCTTATGTTAGCGTTCACTTTATCCTGATTTCCACGTTCGGATTTTCCTGGCCTGGCTCAGATGTTCTGGTGTCACTCAGCTGCAGGCTATCCCCTTTCTTTTCTCAAGATACCCCTGACACTATACAACTCATTGACTAGAACTTGCCTCGCGACTCCCTCTGCCCTTTACAGCCTGAGCTACCTTAATAAAAAAGACCTGGGCACTGCATGAGGGCCTCTCCCTCTGGTGATGGATTCGGCGCTTTCTCTGGGAGGGTGAGCATCACATAATTTAGGTGGAATGAAAGATACTGGAGAACATATGCTGCTCCGGAACAGAGCTATTAGGTTTTAAGTTACTTCTACTTGGTTATCTTTCCTTGGAGGAGAATCCTTAGCACAAGCATGATTAGCAGATGTGCCTAAAAACTTGAACTCCAGAATCCAAAGGATTGCAGAAGAAAATCCGGCCCAGGCCCTTCTTGGGCACACCTGGCTGTTCTCCTTTCTGCCCTGGGGAGGAATGAAGTCCCCTTGCCGGTGCTCAGCCGCCCGCAGTCTCGGCGGCGCCCAGCGCCGGGCTCACCTCTGCTCCTCCAGGGGCGGACCGCGAGCACCAAGAGCAGCAGCGAAGCAGCCCCAGGCGGCGTCCGCATGGCGCCCGCGCGTGGGGACCCGTCGGTCTTCCTCAGACGCCGGCGGTGCAAACCCGGCGAGGAGAGGCGCTGCGGCCGCAGGGCTCGTGCTCCCGGAAGCGCACGCGCTCTTCACTCCCTCCAGCGGCGCCAAGGGGCCGCACCTGCCTCGCAGCCGGGCGCACAGCTTTCCCTCCTCAGGACCAGCCGAGCCTTGGCAGCTCTCGGGCCGCCCAGGTGTCATAGCGACCCCGCCCTCCTTCCTTGGAGACAGGAGCGAGGTGACCTCGAGGGTGAGCCTGGGCCAGATGCGGGAGCAAGGGCATCAGTGGCCTAGAACGCTCAGCGCAGGTGAATTCTGTTCCCAACCAGGGAGTGTGGCCCAAGCCCAGGGTCAAGGAAGCTGGGCACCCATGCAAGACACAGGCAGGCTGACCTCTGAAAGGAGGACTCGTGAAAGCTTGAATATGTAAAGGTACCACCCTGCTTCTAAGAAGCTTGTTGAAGACCGTGACACTCCCAAGTTTTCAAAGGGAGTGGATGTGAAAGATCAGGTTTCTACCCCGTTCCTTTTCTGAGTGGCAGTGTTATCATCAACTTCAGTGGAATGCACCAAAACTGTAGGGTCCAGCATTTCACAGTATTAAAATGAATCCACTAGCAGGATTATCATGTCAGCATTTTTTCAATAGTTATTTTCTAATAAGTAACTTGTAACGAGTTAGCTTGAGACTGGGAGAGGAATAAAGCCAGAATTTGTAATTGATTTATAATTTATCAAAAAATGAGGGCAAGGCTAAGTGAACATTTTATATATATTAACTAACCTAGACACCAGTCCCCCAGCCCCAGTTATTTCACTTTTGCATAAAATAGAAATAAACGCTCCTTGAGGTAGGAGGGTAAACAAATTAGGGAGACAGGCAGGTGGTAGACAGAAGGACAGGAAAACAGAGACAGTCGAGGTGGAGGGAATGCACGTCCAGGGACAGGCAGCTGACAGTCAGAGAGCGGCAGAAGGGAGCAGGTGAATTGGGAAGCTTCTGGCAAAAAGCTTCAAGAATGTGATTGGCACCCAAACTTGAAACACACCGTCTCAAGCCTTCTTGTCTTATGAAGCTAAAAGGGGTTTCCGTGATTTTTATGTCCCAAGTCTTACAACAAGGAAAAGCTCTTAAGTTGCACTGCCCAATAGAGTGGACATTAGCCATGTACGGTTATTAAAATTAATGTTAACTAAAATAAAATAATTTTATTCCTCAGTCGCACTAGCTACATTCTAGTCCTCAATAGCCACCTGTGCCTAGTGGCTACCATATTGGACAGCACAGATATGGAACACTGCCATCATCAACAGATAGTTCTGTTGGACTGAATTGTTCTTGAGAGTAGCACCATTTTAAGTATTTATTTAAAATAGTCACAACTTGGATGGCAGTTTGACTGAGTAGATGACTCCTGGGTTTCAAGCTCGGGTGTCTAGGGGACACCAGGAGGGGACTTGGTAAGGTAAGCTGCCCATTTCTGAAAATACACTGCTACATCTGAGTGCTGTAAAAGAACTCTCCAGGTGGTGGCTGTCTGACCCGTGGCCCTCACCACTCTCATCTCCGAGTCTCGCTTTCACTGTAGTGACCTCACGATTATTACCATAACCATCTGTGGCCCCAGGGGCACACTACTCTCCAATAAAAGCTCAGACCCTCCAAAGGGACGCAAACTCCTCTCTTTCTTCTTAGCAAGAGAGGGTCAGATTAAAGTCACTACAAAGCTGTTACAAAATAAAATAGAAGGAAAGAAAAAATGAACATGTGCTGTGCACGTTGGACCCACGATGTTCAAGTTCATGGCTAACCTCATGAAGCTTACAGACCCTGTCCCCTTGCAGTCTTGTGCACATGGTACACACACAGTTTTGAAGGATCTTCAGTGGTGTGTTTCACACCTGGGAGTCTCCATGGGGTTGGGCACTGTCTCATTTCCTGTTACATCACAGCTCCCTTTGTTTCCAGAGTTCAAACTCACAGCCTCAAGTGAGACCTTGTTCTTCTATACAGGAGGTTGATTCCTTTCTGGCTTGACAAAATAATGCCTTTCCATTAAGTAGAAAAAGAGCCATTCAATACGAATTGCATACATAACAAAAGCCAGGTCATTAGTTTTAGATTTAAATTTGCTAGTAAGCTGATGGTTTAAATATGTTGGGTTTGTGGTGAAATTGAAGGGTCCAAATGGAAGGGTTCTCTTAATTTAAAACAAAACAAAACAAACCAGAAAACTTCAGAAAAGGAAAGGATGTCAAGCAGAGTGGGCTGGACTTTCCCAAATTGGATTGGGAAATCTGCCTTGAATTTGAACATATATCTTCATTAGGGCAGCGAAATAATGATCTGCTATTGGAGGCCTTCCAAGACTCTTGATGGAGGCCCCAGCTCTAAGCACAGTTGTAAACTTAGGAGTGTTAGGAGACTAACCCATGAACAATGAGCAAGTCATGGGGTAAATAATATTTTGTTTAAAATATGTTTTTCCATTCGCGCTAAACCACTGGTCTAAACTCTCGAACGCTCTCCCAAGTCCCACAAGACCTAGGAATCAGCACTAAAGTGATTATTAGTGACGTTAGAAACAGCAACTTGATTTGAATATTTGTTGCAGAGACAGATTTCACTAGGTTGCAGAGAGAATGTGAAGGATGCAAGTAGAAAGAATGAGTGAAGACAATTTATTCAAAATAGTCTGGCTGTGAAGGACATAAAGAAATGCAGTAGCAGCCAGAGGTGAAAAGGAATAAAGGAAGGATTGTTTTCAAGTGATCTTGATGGTGGCTACCTGTATCTGTGTGTGTGTGTGTGTGTGTGTGTGTGTGTTTTCCGGTACGCGGGCCTCTCACTGTTGTGGCCTCTCCCGTTGCGGAGCACAGGCTCCGGATGCGCAGGCTCAGCGGCCACAGTTCACGGGCCCAGCCGCTCCGCGGCACGTGAGATCCTCCCGGATCGGGGCACGAATCCGCGTCCCCTGCATTGGCAGGCGGACTCCCAACCACTGCGCCACCAGGGAAGCCCTGTATCTGTGTTTTTAAAATAGAACAGAATTGATAAGAGCCAGAAAAAGGAAGAAGTTAAGGAAGAAGAAGAAAGAGATTAAAGAATGGAATGAATTTCTACAAGTTGTGATTATCCAGGGCCGAGGGCCCTCTTCTTTCATTGTAGCAACAGGAGAGAGGGGAGAATTGGGCGCAGGTTAAGTCTGTAGATGACTGAGTGCAGGATATTGAGGGTTTTCTACCTTGTATTTACTCCATAAAGAGGTGAAGGCATCTCAGTAAGATGAGGGGAAAAGATCTGGAATGCATAAGCACTGAAACAGTGGTTGTGGGATATGAAAAAGAGAGCAGACATAAACCACACAGAACAATGCAATGAATGAATGAATGAATGGGGAAAGGAAGAAGGATACTCTTTTTTTATTTTTAAAGCAGGCACCTACTGGTGACATGGATTTCAGTGGGTACTAATCACAGAGCACTTGAGAGATTGAAACAAGACATAATTATTTTCATCATATTTTATATAAAATAGACATTTACATAAATTTTATTTTGGAAAGATCTAGGCAAAGTGTACATAATCAGACTTAAATGGGAGAAATACTTTATGGGAGATAGATTTCTAACTGGCACAGCAAAAGTAACAAAAATGTACATTTATATACAACTGATCAAGAACATGATGTAAGTATTTTCCTCTGACAAAAGGAGAGATGGGTGAGTCACAGCAAGTCATATGATTTCCACATTGTAAAAGCAAGCCATGGGGCTAAAATACAGATATTTTAGTTCCTTTGGAGGAAATTTTTAAAAATCTCTTTTCCTTAGAAACGTAAAAAAATCGCTTATTTTTATATGTACAGACTGCAAAATAAGAGTAGTTACCTCTGCCATATTAAAGCACTTGGGCAGTTCAGTCACTTTTAGGGTTGTTTGTGTATGTGTTTTGCTGCAATGGTTAAGAATTTCTAAAACGAAGGGCGACACTTATCAGTTATCTCTTCAGAGGCAGAGGGCTTTGCATTTGGATTCAGGGGACTCACAGAGCTTGATAGGTCCATAGGAGTAACCACTCCTTTAACGGGCAATAAACATGACTGAGACACTTGGTAACTTGTCCCAGGTGAGACGGCACCTCGGTGGCAGAGCAGGACTAGAATCCAGATCTCCTGGTTCTTGGACTGGGTCTCCCCTCCTATGGACCAGCAACACAACCCCAGAAGGACATTATGCACATTGGAAAAGTCTAAAGTGATACAAATATGCACCACGTGCCCCACTGAGAATGGGAAAAAACTCCTGGATTTCTGGACATAGACGCCTCTTTTCAGTTTGTGGTAAATGCTGATCTAAACTTACAAACTAATTGTGATGGGTGCTAATTTTACAAGTCATATGGCCTAAAGGTTTTAATGGAAAGGATCCTTGGTGATAAAAATGGAACATTTTTATATGAGCCAATTGATAGATATTGATTCTGTTGTGACATTTTATTTTACTGACAGTAAACCCTAGCTTTGATTGAAGTTATTTTATTTCTTCTCTTTAAGTTATATGACTACCAAAAAAAAATAATGAAGTGATATTTTTGGAAGAACTGTTCAACATATTTTTCACATTGAAAACTTCAAGAATAATCATAAACAGTTATATTTCTCCATAGTTTTTGGCATTGTAAGTTTTCATCCTATTCAATTACAGCCTAAATACAAGATTTGACAGGTGTTTACTTTTAAAATGCCAAAAGATGCCATTTAGATAGTTAAGTTTTGCTATTATTGGGAGATACCAACATACAATTTAATCAAAGTAAATGTGATTCGGAAACCAGGAAAAAAATTAAAATAAACAGAACACCTATAACTACATTTGCTTTGAGTGTTATTACTAATACCCTCTGGATTTATTGATCTAAGGTGCAAATCCATCACAAATCAGAGAAAAAGTGTTTTTGTTTTTTTTAAAAAACTGATTCTAATGAGTACAATTAAGAAATAATTAATGAAAGCTGACATGTGTAACCTAAAGAAAGAGGGAGGCATAGAGAACACGGCTCTATGTCATGGGCCCTTCTATGAGTCATAAACAATATGAGTTTTATATACCGGGTGCCTCGTCTGGTATGTGCAAATGGCAAGGCAATCCCTCTCCACCTGAGAACCAAGAATTCTGTAAATATAAAGGTCAAATGCCTCACTGCACATTAGAATCATAACCTGGGTGGCCAGGGTCCAGGGATTCCTAAAGGTGTGCACGCAGGTTATTCTCAAATCCACCAGGGCCAAAGCACCTGTGTGTGAGGGGCGAGATCTCAGCTATCAGCTGAACCCGGCTCTTCAATCCGGGAGGCCTGGAATGTTTAATAGAGGCGATACAAAACCCTGTATGGAAAGGTTTGGATTTTCTCAGTCCTGTTGAAACGCAGTTGCACAACCACTGCAAAACCCTGCACCAAACCGAGGTACCACGTGTTAGGCACGTCAGACTCGTACACTGGGGGCTGTGAAGTACTGTGGGGAGTTGGAATCAAAGCACTGAAAATCCTCTTTGTTTTTTGATGGGCTGCAAAATAAACAGGTCTAAAAGATATATCTCAGGATTCCCTAAAATAAAATTTCTTTTCCTCCAAGGTATTTAAATCTTTGGTTTAGTTCACTTACGTTACATCACTGAACCATGTTTTACGAATGCTGTTAACAGGTTGAAAACATCTGAATCAGTTTTAAAATCCTGAATAATTCTTAAGGTTAACATAAACTTGTAAAGCCATTCTCGTGGCTCCATGTCGAAGGACATGTGAAAGGACTGCCACTTATTGGAGAATTTGAAGGCAAGGAGAACTGGTTCTGGTCAGACAGAAGGACAGGTTAGATAGACTGGCAGTAGGAGGGGAATATATGTACACAAGGAACTCTAAGTGTAGCTGAGACAAAATAGCCAATGCTGCACAGGGTAACAGTCACAAATGAAACTCTGCTCATTAGATCAAGTGTTCAGCTAGACTGAAGCAACTCCTGTCTTGTCCTCAGCCACCTTCCCTCCTACCCACGACCCAGTGCAAAATGGAATTATTCAAAAATTACTGAGAACTTCAAGCAGAGAATTCAACCAAACATAAGGTGCTTCTGAGTGCAGGACTCTGAGGGTCTACAGAGACTGCACGTCCACGAAGCTGGCTTTGCAATTCCATCTCAGAAAGGGGCTATCAACTCACAGCCAAGCATGCTTTTGTTAAGGGAACCTGGATGCATCTCCATGAATAGCCAGGGCACTCCATTTTCGTTTTTATAAGGATGAATTCCACATATTATTTCATGTTACAAGAACAAATAAAAATAGTTATAAAATACATTTAATATCTCTGAAAAATAATATGTGATTTATTTTCTTATAGGCACCACTCAACTATGAAAAGTATTTCACTGGCCACATCTAAGTGAAAGTATTAACTCAGGACAGAAACATCTGGTCCAACAAACAGGCTTACTTTTAATGTTCAAAGAGATGCCAGTGTGTGCAGAAAGAACGAGACAGAGTGACAGAGTGAGAAAGACAGAGAAAGGGAGGGGGAGAGAGAGAAGGGGCGAGTGAGAGAGGGCAGGAGAGAGAGGGGGAGAGAGAAAGAGAGAGACAGAGAACAGAGGAAGAGAGAAAAGCACCCAAAAGAAGGCAGGAAAAGTCTCCTGAAGGACAGTGACCATTTTCTCTCAGAAACTTTTAGGCTGTAATAGCCATTTCAATTATTCCAACAAATGTACTCGCCTATCTTTAGCAGCCCTTCAAGTAAGGCGTTAATTGCTTTTCAAAATTTGGGGCTCTATCTTTTCCATTAACTTTCTAAGTATGAGTTTTTTTTAACACTAAAACTAAAAAGTTGTAATTAAAGTCCTAGATATTGCTTTTAGCTAGGGCTTCATGTTTTTCATTTTGGGGATGGAGTAGTTATTTTACAATAAATACTTTAGTACATTTCTTGACCTTAGGACTACAGAAGTATAATTTGGGAGGGAATAAAAATATTTTAAATGAAATTTTGGATACATTTATGATATATAACATTAAAAGACTATTAGAAACAGAAGATCAGAGTGGTAATATATACATTATTGGATTATTGATATACACAAACAGAATACACACAAACAGAATTTGCTAATTCAAATTCTGTAATCCTTTGCATTTAAAATATTCCTGGCATCATCCCTTTCCAAAGAAGTTTTTCCTCCTTTTATCTAGATTTACCTTGACAAAAAAATAATAACAACATAGAGAGGCAGTGGTCTCTGATACTGGGGTTGAAAAGAAGCGGAAGGCTTCTTGCTCTGGCCTGAGTGTGTGACATACGCGTGTCTTCAGGCTCCTACGTGTTTATGACACCTGGCTTAGCCAGGAACAGCACTGACCAGAGTGGGTTTTTGTTTTTTTTTTTAAGTTTATGATGAAAACCAAATGAGAATCAGTATTCCAATTTCTTCAATTTCAAAATATATTACCTCCCAAACACTGAAGGCTGATTCCTAATTTCTTTAGCTTTAGCAAGTGAAGAGTGAAGACAAATTTTTTTAGGGGCTGTTAAAACTTAACTACCTTGTAATTTAGATTTATAATTTTTGTATGATCAGTTGTGAAAACTGCTATTAAAACCACTATGTACAGGGAAAAAAGTGTGTATATATTAAATATTTTATAAGTTATGAAATAAATAACACTAAAAGACAAATTGTAAATTCAACTTTGCAATCCCTATCTTTTAACTATAAATATATATTTTAAAGTTATGAATTTAGACTTTTTTTCCTAGATTTTTTGAGCATTCTCCATGAAATCTCCAAAATTACAAATACAGAACCAGGAACTGCAGGTTCTATCATTCATGTTCTAAGCACAGAATTCTCATTAAGCCTAGGAAGACAAATCAATAGAGCTGTCCATCTATTTAGAGTCTATGAAGATTTCTGTAATCTACCATAAAGATTCCTCAGTGGTTAAATATATTTTCAAAAAATAATCTCAGAACGTCTGAGTGTTAAGATAATAAAGTAGAACATTTCTCTCAATTAATATCTTTAATATTTCTCATGTAGAATATACTATTTTTTTCTCCACCAAAATAACAATATATTTGGAGGCAGAAACATTTACGAGTTTTAAAAGCACTTATGAAATCTTAGAGCAGAACCACTACTCTAGTAATACTTGTAATAAAATTAATTTAAAACATTTCCATGAAGAGTCAGGGGTAGCAAGACCCTTGATTTTTCCCTAGGAATAAGAATACTCATACACAATTCCAGAAGCTTCCTTTTTGACATATTAGGCAATGGGAAAACAGCTTGTATCAGAGTGGAATTTAATTTACTTCTCAATAGGGCTCTAGCACTAGCCTCAGAAGGATATTAGACAAACCTTACTTAGCTTTATCTTACAATAGCCCCTTTCCCCATATATTCCCTAAGGTTTTACAAAAACTGTTAGATACTCATTTCTAGTTCTGGAGAATTAAATGAGCTACCTCTTGGTAGAATTTCTCAAATGGTTTATCCCAGAGGATTTACCCTTTCTGAAATATCTCCTCTCCTAAAGAAGAGATGCCATGCATTCATAGCATTTCAAGCCTCTGTTTCTGAGACACAAATATCTACACTAAGAAATGGAATAGATTTCCAGGTTGGAAAAGCAGACAAACATATGAAAGGAAATCTGGAATTAAAGCAAACAAATGTCTGTAAAATGTGTAGCTGCTGTTTTCCTTCCTTCAGGCCTTCTAGCCCCTGCTTTGCTCTTTTTGTCTTCTTTCATGGAAATGCAAGTCCCCAGCGCAGGGTTACCAGCAATTGTCCCAAAATGTGCCACCCTGAACTCGAGTTAGAGGAAAACTTCATCGGTTGTGCCCCAACTGATGTGTAAGCAAGGCTTCCGTCTGTCAGTTCTTCCTCTTCCAAAGGCACCAGTACTGTCCCTTGGAGACTTGGTCAAATGCTGCTACATTTGATCCTTTTCTCGAACTTCTTGTAATCTTTTTTCTAGACGATCCAATTTGGCAAGATTTTCCTGCAGCAGTTTGCTGTCTGGAACCAGCTGTAAGGCTCTCTCATAATAAGCTCTTGCAGACACGTAGTTTCCCTGTTGAGAAAAAGAAAGAGAATAATTATATTCTGATCCATCAGATAAAAAACAGACCTTCTCGTCCATTTTAACATTAACATCCTCATAAGGAGACCCTGTCTGCATGTGTAATTTTATCCTTATCTGTTGGTGCCTTTGAGAATCCATTTGTTTTAAGTACCAGACCAGATGGAGAATGTGAAGGATAAGGTTAAATGGCAGCAAAACAGATTTCCAATTCTACTAATACAGGGTATGAAGCTATAATTTCATAGCATTCTCATAGGGTTAGCACTGTTCCTTTGTAATCAAGTGGAGCCAACGCACTGGAAATTCATATTGAGAGGGAAGGGGACACAAAGAAGGTTGGGTTGGGGGAGAGGGGTGTGTGTGTGTGTGTGTGTGTGTGTGTGTGTGTGTGTGTGTGAAAGAGAGAGAGAGAGAGAGAGACGTTTTTGAAATTTCAAGAGTAATGATTAAAAAGTAAATAGTTCAGGAGTCCACTACAGCTATTTAGTGGTAGGAAGTATTTTTTTTTGGTTTTTTTTGTTTTTTGTTTTTTGCGGTACGCGGGCCTCTCACTGTTGTGGCATCTCCCGCTGCGGAGCACCGGCTCCGGACGCGCAGGCCCAGCGGCCATGGCTCACGGGCCCAGCCGCTCCACGGCATGTGGGATCCTCCCAGACAGGGGCACGAACCCGCGTCCCCTGCATCGGCAGGCAGACTCCCAACCACTGCGCCACCAGGGAAGCCCTAGTGGTAAGAAGTATTTTAATCTTCACCTTAAAACATAAAAGCAACTTTTGCCTAATACAGGCTTTAATGCAAATCTAAGTTTTTATAAAATAAAAAGAACTGATAATAAATAATATGGAGTCAAATTTATCCCATACTCAAGGTGTGTGACAATATGTCTGCCGGATACTCTAAAGGCGGGGGGGAAGGTATGTCACTCTGGACCTGCTAAAGACCCCTCTCTTGGCCCCCATCTGGTTTGTTCAATGCTTCCCTAACTGGCAACCATGCGTGCCTGGTCCCAGAAGGTCCCTGACAAACTAGTCAGAATTACTAACTTTTTTCCAGCCTCTTTTCTGCCACTAAATGTATTCCTTCCGTATGGTCAACCCGCTTTCATATCTGTGTGCTGCTAAGTCTCAGAACCAAGATCGGTAGAGATCTCTCCATTCCAAAAAAGCAAGCATCTGCTGTGCTTTATTCTCAGTTACAGCTCCATGTGGATGAAAACTAGTTACTCTCTAAATTTCCACCACAATTGCAAGTAGTACCTCTTGGCGTGAAAGTACTATGTAGCAATAGCGACCTATATTTGTTGAATGCTTAACTACCTCCCAAGTGAATGAACAAGTGTCAAGACCTCAGACCCTGCCTGACATATAATGAGCACTCAATCCGATGCTGTCATTGTTGTTATTATTAAATGACTATTTACGTGTAAATGAGTAAACACAGCCCATTTCTTATGGTATTCACTTGTCATACCGGTGAAGAGGAGAGTAAAAATGACATAACAGATAACTGCACATTGGGAATCCAGGAGCTGGCATGTGCCCAAATGAAAATATTTCTGATTATTAACACTGATTCTGATAAGAGGCTGAACAGAATTCTGAACAAATGAGAACCTGGATTTAGCGACATTACTATTGTTTTCAATTCAAGTATTTATCTTCAGAGTGTCTCCTGATGTTTATTAAGCTTAGCACATAGGTGCAGATAACTGAACATCTGTGGCTCTTAGATTGCTCTCAAAACTGTGTTCCTACTGCGGTTGATTTTGAAATCGGTTTCCCAAGAGGTTTCTCTGAAGTTAGGCCTTAGCCTGGTGCCAGGCATCTCCTCTGATCACCAGCTTTCTCTGTCCTTTCACAAAAAAGATCTATCATAGAGTTATTTTCTCCCTCAAGTTGCTCTTTTCTTGATGCAACTGGAAGCCTTAATTTTTTTTTTTGCGGTACACAGGCCTCTCACTGTTGTGGCCTCTCTCGTTGTGGAACACAGGCTCCGGACGCGCAGGCTCAGCGGCCATGGCTCGCGGGCCCAGCCGCTCCATGGAATGTGGGATCCTCCTGCACCAGGGCACGAACCCGTGTCCTCTGCATTGGCAGGCAGACTCTCAACCACTGTGCCACCAGGGAAGCCCCGGAAGCCTTAATTTTTAAAAAAGAAATTTATTTATTTTATTTGTTTATTTTTGGCTGTGTTGGGTCTTCCTTGCTGCACGTGGGCTTTCTCTAGTTGCGGCCAGTGGGGGCTACCCTTCGTTGCGGTGCGCGGGCTTCTCATTGCAGTGGCTTCTCTCGTTGTGGAGCACAGGCTCTAGGCATGTGGGCTTCAGTAGTTGTGGCTCACGGGCTCTAGAGCACAGGCTCAGTAGTTGTGGTGCACGGGCTTAGTTGCTCCACAGCATGTGGGATCTCCCCGGACCAGGGATCGAACCCGTGTCCCCTGCATTGGCAGGTGGATTCTCAACACTGCGCCACCAGGGAAGCCTTAATTTTAAAACAAGTTATATCCCTTAATTCAATGTCCTCAATTTCCAGATGCTAGATAGGGAATTTGAATTATCCAGTTTCTAGAAATGTGCTAGTTACTATGATAGCCACTAGTCATATGCGGCTATTTAAGTGTAAGTTAATTAAGATGAATTAAGAATTCAGTTGCTCAGTGGCACATTTCAAGTGCTCATTAGCCATGTGGGGCTAGTGGCTACTACCTTGGACAGTACAGACATAGAACGTTTCCGTCATCTCAGAAAGTTCTATTGGCCAGTTCCATTCTAGAAAACGCATTAATGTCATAAGGCAGGATTGAAAATAGTACTTTGTGATATGGCCCAGGTGATGCAACTCTTTGATTATAAAGAATGTATTGTAGGGGTTTCCTTGGTGGCATAGTGGTTGAGAGTCCGCCTGCCGATGCAGGGGACACGGCTTTGTGCCCCGGTCTGGGAAGATCCCACATGCCGCGGAGCGGCTGGGCCTGTGAGCCATGGCCGCTGAGCCTGCGCGTCCGGAGCCTGTGCTCCGCAACGGGAGAGGCCACAAAAGTGAGAGGCCCGCGAACCGCAAAAAAAAAAAAAAGTAAAAAAAAAATGATGGCTTAGATATACACTGGTTGACATAGAAAGATATTCTCAATGTATTGGATTGAGTTATTTAAACAGCATGTTATAAAACACTATAAATATTCAAATGTTCTAATCTATTTTACAATGTCTTCATTACTTTTTAGTTACTTTTGTAATAAAATAACTAGTCGTATTGTGGATAATAGATAAATGAGCAAAGTACTGAGATAATTCACAAATGAAGAAATAAAAATGGCCAATAGGGACTTCCCTGGTGGCACAGTGGTTAAGAATCCACCTGCCAATGCACGGGACACAGGTTCGTGCCCCGGTCCGGTAAGATCCCACATGCTGCAGAGCGGCTGGGCCCGTGAGCCATGGCCGCTGAGCCTGCGCGTCCGGAGCCTGTGCTCCGCAACGGGAGAGGCCACAA